ATCCAAGTAGCCAGTCTTGCAATTAAAATAAAAGATGCTGTCTCTTTAGCTGAATCATAAACCAACTATTTGATCAATCTACAGTTGCCTTCTAATGAATAATATAATTCTTCTAATTTTTTTCATGTCCATTTGAGAGCTTGTGGATTAAATGGGTCTGAGAATAAAAAGGAATAGGTAGAACTGCTTTCCACTGTGATATGGGTGGCATGTTCACCAGCATTGGCAGGAGCAGCAAAAACAGAAGCCACAGGTAGCGCTTCAAGACTGAATTTTTAATTACTCTAACAACTAAGTGTTTAGGCAGATGAATTTAGAATACAATAAACAAGAAATTCTAAAAAAACTACCAAACAGGCAATTATCAGTAGAAACTATCACCATAATAATTTTTATTTTCAGTTAACTTTTAATAAGTGTCTACTCTGTGCCAGGTATTCTGCTAGGGAGTTTTGGAATGCTTCAAAGTTAGTGTTAGTCATTAATTTTCTTGAAATATTTTTATGGTTTTTGCTTTGTATTGGAACCTATATCCAGTAGCCAAAAGTTCCTCAATTAGAAAGAAGCCTGTTTGTGCTTCTGGTTCCTAAAAAGTATAGAAAAAGGCCCTGCTTTCTGAGGTTAGAGAGATGCCTCAAAAGCTAATACATTAAAAAACTCCCTGTCTTAGTCATCTAGTGCTGCTGTAACAGAAATACCACAGGTGGATGGCTTTAACAAAGGGAAATGTATTCTCTCACAGTCTAGTAGGCTACAAGTCCAAATTCAGGACATCACCTCCAGGAGAAAGCTTCCTCTCTCTGTCAGCTCTGGAGGAAAGTTCTTGTCATCAATCTTCCCCTGGACTAGGAGCTTCTTTGTGCAGGAACCCCAGGTCCAAAGGACACACTCTGCTCCCGATGCTTCTTTCTTGGTGGTATGAGGTCCCCCACTCTCTGCTTGCTTCCCTTTCCATTTATCTCTTGTAAGATAAAAGGTGATGCAGGCCACACCCCAGGGAAACCCCCTTTACATTGGATCAGGAATGTGACCTGGGTGAGGGTGGTATTACAATCCCACCCTGATCCTCTTTAACATAAAATTAGAATCACGAAATGGAGGACAGCCACACAATACTGGGAATCATGGATTAGCCAAATTGATACACGCATTTTTGGGGGGACATAATTCAATCTGTGACACTCCTCCAATTCTGTAATTCCAAAAGTGGTCATTTCTTACTGAACTGCTTTTGGTGAATCACACTGCTGCTAGAGTAGCTGTGTCTAATTATGGCTCTTAAATGCACAGAGTATAGAAATTGAAAGTAAAGCACTCAAAAATTTAGAGTGACAGTGATTCTTCCAATCCATTGATTAACCCTGTGCTGTAAGTAGGGTATGAATTGCTAATTGTTCATAATTTCTACCTTAATGTAAATGCTAATTAAAAATACCTTGCCTTTAAAAAGACTATAGTGTTTCCCGATTCACATGTGCTTATTAAGTAACTCTCAGCCTGGTAAAACAAGATGGTAATTTCAGTCCTGTCCAGGCAGCCTGGAATCCTTGCTGTGGAGATTGAAGTCTTCATTGCTGTTCTTAGGGAAAGAGATAAAAGTTAGCTGGGTCATTTTCTACTGACAGAACCTGTGATAGACTGAGAAAACTTTATAAGGTGCTCTTGTCCCTTAGTCCATTTTCTCAAAATAGTTAAATCCTGAAAAGAAGTTTGCTACACTTGAGAAAGTTACACATGTAGCATGTACTTAAAATGACTTGGAGTACCTTTGTTATTGAATTGCCTACCAGTTTCTAAGTGTCTTAAGAGTGGGAGCCCTGTTTTATTTTTGTATCCATTACATAGTACCTTTGTTTTGCTCAGAGTTAATTTGTCAAGCCACGAAGCATCGGTATGAGCTTTGGGTATTATATTGGTTAAGGTTAGCTTAACCAGATTCGTGTACCCTGGGTAGTGCAGATGATTAAAGTGCTCGGCTGCTATCCCAAAGGTTGAAGATTCGAGTACAAGCGCCTCAGAAGAAAGGCCTGGCAGTCTACTTCTGCAAAATCAGCCATTGAAAACCCTATGGAGCACAGTTGTACTCTGACACATAAGGGATCACCGTGAGTCAGAATCAGTAACTGGTCTGGTATCAGATTAGAGAACAGACAATAGTTTATGCTAGTTTTATTGATGGGGCTTTGGAATGATATTCTGGAAACAGTAGGAGTTTAGTTTGTCAGTTGTCAGTTTTTATTCATCATCCCTGGCACCTATGCTTGTCACATAAAAACAAAAAAACCCTTTGCCGTCAAGTTGATTCTGACTCATAGCAACCCTATAGGACAGAGTAGAACTGCCCAATAGGGTTTCCAAGGAACAGCTGGTGGATTCAAACTGCTGACCTTTTGGTTAGCAGCTATAGCTGTTAACCACTGCGCCACCAGAGCTTCATGCTCATCACATAGTAAGTACTAAAATATTAGTTGAAGGAATGAATTTCTGACACTAAGCCTCACTGTCTCTATCTGCTCTCTTTCTTCTATATTCCCCCCTGATAGTTCTATCTACTTTGTACATATTTGCAATGATTTCTCCTGACTTACAGCCTTTGCTGCCTTGTGGTTTCTGCATATTCACTTCTCTCTGTATATCTTTTCTTTTTAATGCCATTGCATTGTATACAGATTGTATACCTCTCATTCAGACTGATTAGATAGACTGGTCACCTTCCAGTATGGCTCACCGTCTCATAGTATAACAGTCAGGCTTCTATGGCTGCCTTTGGGTCAGAGCCTAGCCCTAGTCGTTACTTGTGGTGAACTAGCAAGGTCATAGAGTATGAAGTATGGTCTCTGTCTTACTCCTAAGGGGAATGTGGTTATGGCAGACCCTTCGAATATCTGTCATATAATGATAAATTAGAGTCTGCTTGGAATTCAGTCATGTTCCAGGTCAGATTCTAAGCTATGGGAGAACACCATATCTTGCTAGTTCAATGCTATATCCACAGTACTTGGTACAGTGCTTGGTACATAGTAGGCACTGGAAAAGTACTGGCTGAATGAAGGCTGATGAAGGAGGGAATCATTTTTTCTTAAATGTATGAGGGGACACAGTAGGAAAGATTAAAGAGTAAGGCAAATGTAGTTAAACAACTATCCAATAAATGAATCATTGCCATTGGTGGCAAACCACATGAGACTTCTAATAAAGGAAAGCTCCAATCCAGAAAGACTTCATCCTACTTCACTCTTAAGTTATGCTGGAAAGCAATGGGTAATAACAGAACTTCATTTTGCCATTACAGTGGGAGAGTTGTCCAAAGGCTACAAATCCAAGAGCTTTTCTTTTTTCCAAGGAATTTGTCACCATTCTAGAAGTTACTATAGCAATCCTTTGAAAGGAGACTGTTCCTAGTAATGTCATTGGGGTTGGTTGAAAGGGCTATGTTTTATTTGGTATGTTTGAATTAAGCTGAAAATCTAATTGGGAAATTTTCTAGATTTTAAATTAAAAAAGGGCATATGTAGGGTCAATGTCTCTTTATTTCTACTTCCCTCTCTTCACCACCACCCCAATACATATACTCAACCACTACCACCAAAGATAAGGGTGGTGTTGTTTGTTTGTTTTGTCACTGCCAACTATCTTTGACTCAAGAATAGAATTAAGAGACAATTTTGCTTTGTCTTACTTTGAAGATCGAGCTAAAGTTCTTCATGACTTCACATTTGGGTCTCAAATTGGATGGTCCATTTGATTGGTGTAGTGGTGCCAGGTACCTGCAACTCTACTTTGTACATATTAGAGCTTCAGCAAATAGTTATTGACTTCAATTATCAGTGGGAATTAATAAGGCCATTGCTGTAGGTCATTTGATGTCATTCAGTTTTATTGTCACAGAGTTCACCCTGAAATTGGGAACACTATCAAATGTTTGCCATCTTGGCTCAAGATGAATAGGGAAAGATAAAAACAAAAACAAATATCTGTTGCCAGCGAGTTGATTCTGACTCATGACAATTTCATGTGTGTCAGAGTAGAATTGCTTCCTAGGGTTTTCAATGGCTGTAATCTTTATGGAAGCAGATCACCAGGCCTTTCTCCCATACTGCTGCTGGGTGGGTTCAAGCTGCCAACCTGTAGAGACCTCAGGGAAAGATGATTTGGAGATAATATAGAGAGATTCACACAGATTCCTAACCGTAACTGGAAAAATATTTGGCAGTCAGTTTTCTCTGTAATAGTAAAGTCAGGATGCAGCACTGGTTAAATGTTGGGTGTTGGGATCATACAAACTTGGGTTTAGAACCCTGGTCCTGCCACTTAACAACGTGACTTTGGGCAAGTTACTTAAACCCTATCTAAACCTTAGTGCTGGAACTATAAAGTGGAGGAAACAATAGTACCTATTTCATGGGGTAGTAGTAGAGTTTAAATGAGATAATGCATTGGAAGCTCTTGCCACAGGACCTACCTAGCACAAAGTAAGTACTTAGTTACATGTTAGATATTATTGTTTTCAAGAGTGTTGGATTTTGAAAAATGTACTTTTGGACAATACTAGATGGTATCAGATATTTATTACAATATAAATGGAATCAATCTTTTTTTTTATGGAGCAGAAACTTAGTAATATAGTTTTACACACTAACATTTAGGAAGGGAAGAGATACGGTTCATGTTATTGTAATTTGCAAACCGATCACAAGCAAACTTACAGGTACAGTTTCTCTATCAAGAGGTAAAGAAAAGCATCTTGATTGGTAAATTTAAAATCTTTTCTTGTCAGTAGTTTCTGAAACTCATTAAGTCGTTTCTAGGGAGGTATTCCCTAGATAATACATGGAAAGAACTGAGTAACTATCTCTTGGTGGTAAAAGTTCTGGTAATAATTGAATTTTTAAAAACTTTTTTTACTTTGCAAACATGATTATGAAAAAAGTATTGATGAATTCAACTGCTCTCTGAGAGACATTGACACGTTCCCATATTTTTCTTTTGTGTTCACATAGGTGAGACAGGCATTGGCAAGTCCACGTTAATGGACACTTTATTCAACACCAAATTTGAAAGTGACCCAGCTACTCATAATGAACCAGGTGTCCGGTTAAAAGCCAGAAGTTATGAGCTTCAGGAAAGCAATGTACGGCTGAAGTTAACCATCGTTGACACCGTGGGATTTGGAGACCAGATAAATAAAGATGACAGGTACTTCTTGGGATTCCGTGGGCCTATAAATGGGTGAGGAGATAGCAGAATCCATCCTGGGTAAATTCAAAGGCTAAATATTTTTGGTGTTCAGTGGTTATGGGACTTGTTCCCCTATAGCTTAAAGCATATGACATTCTTGTCCTGAGAAATTTTCTTAGAGTGTTCTTCCTTGAGATCAGAATCAGACAACACAATCTATTTCAACTGGTTTAAGCAGAAAAGGAATTGTTAGTAGGGATGTTAGGTTATGGCATTTTTTCAAGGGGGTCATAGAAACAGGTTTGGGGGCTTTCCCCACCAGGAAAAGCAATCCAGAGAAACACCAAACCACCCCACAAGACAATCACCTCATACCTGCTTGGTGACACTATGGAGAAGTCTCTAGAACTGACGCCAGATCTATTCCAGAGAACCACATGCCTTCACCACTGCTTCCAAGAACCCTCTCTCTCCCTGTGTGTGGCCTCTGCCTTGTGTTGCTCATGCCCTGCTTCCGGGTCTTGTGTGGCTGCATCTGCTTGGCAGAAACTAGACTGCATCCAGAATGCTAGCAGCAAGAGAGTCTGGGAAATGTGGTTTTCAGTTTTCTCACTTTATAAAATAAGAAGCATAAAAAGAAAAAGGAGTTTGGAATGAGAATATGCCCATTCACCTAGTCCGTAAATCAGATTGGGATATATGACTTAATTCCCAAATTCTTACAGATTTGAATGAAAATTGAAAGTGTGATTTTGCGCAAGAAGCTACAGCCTGGGAATTAGAAGACCCAGTTTGTAGTCTGGGTTCTGCCAGTGACAAGCTGTGGGACCATGGCAATTTATTTAACTTCAGGGGAAACACACTAGATGTTCTGTAAGGTCCGTTACAATGTGATACTTTTGAACAGTCCTATTCATATGTGGAGACCTAGGGAAAGACATTGTGTGAAATCTAGACCTAGAAGAGGTGTGTGTCTGTAATAGGAAATTATCCTGTATTTGGATAGGTTTTATCAAAAGTGATATTAGCTCCTAAAGTCCCAAAGGGAAGAAAGCATTTTTATGGAAGATCTATTGGAAAGATCAGTTCATTTCTGGGTAGCCCAGGATCTGAATACTGATGTTAGTGCTATGACGCAAGGCACTATGAGTCCTTTGTGAAGTATCTGGGGTCTTCCTGTAGGCAGCTCAGTCTACAGGCAGCATGCTGGCTGCAGAATCGCCAACTCAAGTCTGAATAATGAGTGTGATTTCAGTCAAGCCTAATCAGGAATTCAGGTCAGTTTGGATGAAAGTTTCTCTCTCTATGCAGAGAAGTTTTGTTAAGATAATTAGGTAACATATGCAATAAAATTCATTGTCTATGTGAAAGAAAGGGTGCATTTGACAAAGTCCAACACCCATTCATAATAAAAGCTCTCAATCAAATAGGTATAGAACGGAAATTTCTCAGCATAATAAAGGGCATCTATGCAAAACCAATGGCCAACATCATTCTTAATAGAGAGAGTCTGAAAACATTCCCCTTGAAAACAGGAACAAGACAAGGATGCCCTTTATCACCACTCCTATTTAACATTGTGCTGGAAGTTCTAGC